TTTTTTTCAAAAAGGGCGTGGCACCAAATTCTCAGTATCATCAATAACTGCCATATCTAATACTACAACTTTGTTTTTCAGCAGAAATATCTTTTTTTATATTTTATGATTAAATATGATGAAATATGACTACAAATCTTGAATAACTTTTTTTCAAAAAGGGGCGTGGTCACCAAATTCTCAGGTATCATCATATACTGCCATATCTAACTACTACAACTTTGTTTTCAGAGAAATATCTTTTTATATTTTTATGATTAAATATGAATATGATTTTTGAATATAACCTTTTTTCAAAAAGGGCGTGGTCACCAAATTCTCAGGTATTCATCAATAACTGCCATATCTAACTACTACACTTTGTTGTTCAGCAGAAATATCTTTTTTATATTTTTATGATTAAATATGATGAAATATTACTAAATATCGTGAATAACTTTTTTTCAAAAAGGGGCGTGGTCACAATATCTCATGGTATCAATCATTAACAGCCATTATCTAATACTACAACTTTGTTTCAGAAGAAATATCTTTTTTTATTTTTTTTGATTAATATGAATAGATGATTTGAATAACTTTTTTTCAAAAAGGGGCGTTGTCACCAAATTTCTCAGGTATCATCAATAATGCATATCTAATACTACAACTTTTGTTTTCAGAAGAAATATCTTTTTTAGATTTTTTATGATTTAATATGTACTACAAATCTTGAATAACTTTTTTTTCAAAAGGGGCGTGGTCACCAATTCTCAGGTATAACCAATAATTAAAATATCTCATGGGTTTGTCAGTGGTGTTGAAGCTGATTCCACAAGCTGGATGTGGTCCAGTTCCACTGCTACGGAGATAAAATATGTTCTATTGTAACAGGAATTACATTTCATTATTTTATGAGTAATATGCAAATACACATAGTATATACAATTATCAATATCACATACCATTGTGCAATGGACACAACACTGCTCTCTTATCACATTCTGAAGAATTTGGTGACACGCCCCCTTTTTGAAAAAAGTTATTCAAAATCTTATTCATATTTAATCATAAGAATATAAAAAGATATTTATTGCTGAAAACAAAATTGTAGTAGTTAGTTATGGCAGTTATTGATCATACCTGAGAATTTGGTGACCACGCCCCTTTTGAAAAAAAGTTATTCAATGATTTGTTGTCATATTTCAATCATATTTAATCATAAAAATATAAAAAGGGATATTTCTGCTGAAACAAAAGTTTGTAGTAGTTAGATATGGCAGTTATTGATGATACCCTGAGAATTTGGTGACCACGCCCCCTTTTTGAAAAAAGGTTATTCAAAAATCATATTCATATTTAATCATAAAAAATATAAAAAAGATATTTCTTCTGAAAACAAAAGTTGTAGTAGTTAGATATGGCAGTTATTGATGATACCTGAGAATTTGGTGACCACGCCCCTTTTTGAAAAAAAGTTATTCAAGATTTTGTAGTCATATTTCATCATATTTAATCATAAAAATATAAAAAAGATATTTCTGCTGAAAACAAAAGTTTGTAGTAGTTAGATATGGCAGTTATTGATGATACCTGAGAATTTGGTGACCACGCCCCTTTTTGAAAAAAGTTATTCAAAAATCATATTCATATTTAAATCATAAAAAATATAAAAAAGATATTCTTCTGAAAACAAAAGTTGTAGTAGTTAGATATGGCAGTTATTGATGATACCTGAGAATTTGGTGACCACGCCCCTTTTTGAAAAAAAGTTATTCAAAAATCATATTCATATTAATCATAAAAAATATAAAAAAGATATTTCTTCTGAAAACAAAAGTTGTAGTAGTTAGATATGGCAGTTATTGATGATACCTGAGAATTTGGTGACCACGCCCCTCTTTGAAAAAAAGTTATTCAAAATTCATATTCATATTTTATCATAAAAAATATAAAAAAGATATTTCTGCTGAAAACAAAAGTTGTAGTAGTTAGATATGGCAGTTATTGATCATACCTGAGAATTTGGTGACCACGCCCCTCTTTGAAAAAAAGTTATTCAAAATTCATATTCATATTAAATCCTATTTATTCATAAAAATACAAAAAAGAAACAAATGCTGAAAACAAAGGTTGTAGTAGTTAGATATGGTAGCTATTTATAGTATTTGAGAGTTTAGTGCGTGTACTTGGCTTAAAATAAAAACTATTGTTCGTTTACACAGCTGGTATTGGCATTTGTTGACGCTCCCTAAGTGCTTTTCTCGGCACTTGCGGCGCATTGGATTCAATGGATTTCTCTGCATTAAAACAGCGCATTGGATTAGAAAAATCGATGTTGTAGTAGTTAGCCCATGTAGAGGTGATCATTTTGGCACAATTACTTTCGTTTAACAACGTAGCTTTCGTAAGATATTCACCGCGGAAGTCCGAATCTGTGAATATCAAGCTAACTTTACCGAACTACGCAGAGCAACGTCATCGGAGGGAAGTTGCGGCTCTTCCTTCACTTTCCCGGGATCGTGGACTGTGATGCAACAGGGAGACAGCCCCTGAACTCTGCACTTACTCCCGCGATGACTGACACTTGTAGTGGTGGTAGTAGTAGTTTATTTCTTCGGCCATTATCTACATTAGAAGTTGGGTCACATGTTTCCAAAGATCCAAGACATTTTAATATATTTTTTTAAAGAACTAGTGCTAAATACTGCCTGACAGAAAGACGTCCAAAGATGACACTATACAGATTACCAACAATGGTCACATGTTGCACAGAACTTAAAGGGATATGGAGGATTTCCCCAAATTTAGGAAAGAGCCGCCTTCTCCACTTTCTGAACTAAACTCTCTGGTCTTTTTTGACGAGCACGCATCACCAGAATGATTGACAATTGGGAGGACCAATAGTCTTGATGATCCATCCGGAAGTAGAAAATGCTCCTATATATCTTTCAATAGTCAACATGATATTATGCATGATCAAATGAATGATGGTATATATTTACTGATTCTTATATAGCAACAACTGGTGTAGCAAAGTGTGTTCCTTTCATCCTGTGTGATTAGTTCTGCTTTGCGATGGGTCACTGTCCTGCCTGTCTGTATAGATTATAATACAATGGGTAAATATTGTGGATATGCTATTTCGAGATTTGAGCTATTTGGTTGAATGTTGGTGTTATTTAAAGTTTAGGTCAACTTAATTTCACTGCTATGGCATCAGGTGGTTGTTCATCAGATTGAGTGTTGGAAAATCCATGCTACAAGCGGCTAAACTCAATGACCCTCACTAAACACTGATGCATCGACTGAATCAACATTAACACGTGTTTTTGTTTGTAATTAAATAATGTCAGAATAAAATTATACCTCTAAAATTGTTTTTAACTCATTTGTTCTGGATATTGTATGTATTCCAGCCTCGTAATCTCCCAGTGGCCTCCTTCTCTGTCACTGCTCTTTAATCCCCTGCCACCAGCTCTCAGCACATCTGCCCACATCTGGATACAGGGCAGGCTTGTGCACATGCTCCACACCAGGGGTCTCCACAACAGGGGTCTCTAACCTGTAGCTCACCCCTTTACCAAAATACAGTAGAAGTTACAAATATATTGCTAAATCTGTAATTATTCAATACTCTTGCCTACTAATCCATGATGTGCCCTAATGAAATAATGTATTATTGTCTTGTTTTTTGTTTTACTTTTTACATGCGAGTCTTGCCTCTGTCTGTGTTTCTTGTTTTAGTTTGGTTCTAAGCTGAATTAAGTGTTCATGTACAATGGTCCCCCAGATTCTGCAATCTCAGTGGGACTGGTTAAATTATGGTTATAAGTAATATTGTATATAGTGTTTTATGGGCATAACTATGTATGTACTGCATTCTTTAGACTGGCTCATATAGGCTCACCTGTAGGTCCATTCTTGTGCTGACGCTTATGTTGAAAATTAGTGTGCTATATCTATTTATCTATATAACTTTATCTTTTAAATCTAAATAACAAAAAATACAAAAGATTGACATTTTCTATGGCGCGTGTATCTCCTTGGGTAATGAAACGTATATAGTAGTATGTAGTATGCTCCATTGAGCTGAATCCTAAAGGTAATGGTCATGATGGCAGTAGGCCCCGCCCCTCTTCATCCCTGTGTGATGCTGCGGCTGCCGTAGTCTCTATCAGACTCCTGTAAACAGCAGTCATGGCGACAGTGGTCCAGCCGCTCACCCTGGAGCGAGGTAAGGCGTCCTCTCCTGTCTATTTCACGCACGCATTAGGTTCATACGTCTGACCAACGCGCGTTCCTTTCCCTAAACTCGCGTATATTTGCCATGATGCGCGCTCTGACTCTGCATGCGTCCTTTTTTACCATCCTCACCTTACCCAGTAGTAAACGCAGCTTTAACGAAACCAGAGGCGCATTTCTCACGACTTGATGCCATTTTTTATTCATTCATCATTTGTTCTGACAAGAGATATTGCATGCCATCCTGAAAAAAAACAGCGTGACGCGTTAAAAAATGCATATATTATGTAACGTATCTTAATACCGTTTCTCGAGCTTGTACCCCAACTTATAGAATTTGAGCTGCTGGTATGTAGTTTGGCATGTGTCTTACTTTCTCATTTACAACTCAAGCATGTTAAGTGTCACAGGGTGATAGAGAGCTGATGTCAGGATAGCAACTTTGTTATTACAGCCTGAGCACAACCCACATCAATTTAAAATGTGGGTTTGGATTGGAAATATAGTGCTCGACGTTTGCTTTGACCATTTTGATCTTGTGAGTTTGTGTCTGTCTGTTTGTTTGTTTGTTTTCCTACTGTTATTTGAATCCTCACCCCAGCATTGAGCCCACACAGCACCATGCAGCCTGTGTGTGATTTCCACTTCAGACTTGAATAGGCATCAAACTCTGTCAAATATAGAGACAGGAGACACCCCATGCAGCTATTTCCTTTGGGCTAAGAAAAGCTCTCAGCTCCATTCCTCACTGCCCCGGTCACTGTGAGCTGCTTTATCCTTTTATTCAGTAACGGAAAAGCTATGAACGTTAATAAGAATGATTGAGCCTGTCACACAATTCATACACAGGGAAATACAAAGTGCTTTACAAAACTAGAATGGAAGCTTTACAGTCACACGGAGAAAATATATCGAGAGAGATGTGTTGTAACGAAACGATACTGCTAAAACTTTATGTCACTAGTGCGATACAGCCGGAGAATCCCTGGGAGCCATGTTGAATTCGTCTTTATCATCAAAAGCTACAGGGTGAAGCAAATAAACATCAGATATAAGCATTAGCCATTTTCTTTCCACTTATAATTATATATAGAAAACCTCTCTTCATTATTGCAAAGACAATAAATATGGACCTAAACATGTATTGGTCCATCCATTAATCATTGAAGGAGAAATCAATATTGTAATTATCATGAACTAGAGTGTGAATCTAGTCTGACGCAGGACAATAAGTAGTTCCAGATTTATTGCAGTGATTGATGAAAGCCACACTGTATTATTTGGGATTAAACCAAATCCTAAAATGACATACCTTTCTCAGACATTTGTGCTTAATAGCAAGAAGGTCCTGGACAGGGCTGGTCTGTGTGGAGATTGCAAGTTCTCCCTGGGTCTACATTGTTTTTCCTCCTTGTGCTCCGGTTTTTCCTACCACTAAAAACATGTACGGTTCTGTGTCCACTGTTTTGGCAACGCTGCTCCCATCACTGTGAGGAGTGAGAGGAAAAATGGCCGCAACAATTGAAAAGCGCTTTGTGACTCTGTGAAAAACGCGATATAAATGAAGATTTCTTTCACACAATAGAGGTGTGACACATGTGACTTTTCTCTTAACAATGAAAATAATAAAATCAAGGTTGGCAAGATTCCTGTTTGGAGAATTATGCATCACCCTATAGTGCAAGTTTAGTCTTTATCTTAAAGAGACAGTGCACATTAGTTTTTAGAATGATCAATTTTATTTTTTTATTTTTGCAGCTACTGGACACCTACTTCTCCTACGGGGATCAATACAGAATCTATCTATCTATCTATCTATCTATCTATCTATCAAGTGTACATTAAGCTCAAAGACAGATGTGTTCTGCACCAGATGATAACTACACAACTAATTTCCATCGGCAGAGTAAAGTCAAATATTGCAATCAATTATCAATCAATTATCAATTATCTCAAATTATCTCAAATTATCTCAAAATTATCTCAAAGCCTGAGCTTTATACGTCTCTGTATTCTGCCTTTCATGTCACATTTGTTAAACATCTGTTGTCATGTTGTCTATATATGTTCTGTGAATTAGTCATTACTCTATACACTAACTTTTACTAATGTATAATGGCATATTTACATCTTGCTCAGGGACTATAGCTTTGTCGCTTAAAATCTTTGTCGCTAAAACTACCACTTTTACAGAAATATTCATAATTATTAAAATGTTCAAATAAATCAATCAATGAATCAAAGAATAGGAAAAACATAAGTAACTCATTGCGTCGCTTTCAACACAGGTTTAGGAGCCTTTGACATGTTCATATACATTTAGGGTTGTCCAAAGTCGAGTAATAATCTAAACTGAAACTATTATGACAACCTGGCATTTATTTGGGAAAGTGTCAATACTAAAGAGGACATGTGAGATTCTTTGAGAAGTTTAATGATCTATTTCTGAATAAAACATTGTGGCTCCTTAACACCACTATAATATTGTATTTATGTGAACGAATACAGCTTATTGTACATTGATAATATTAATAATCACAATAACAAAAATCACTGCGGTATTATAATTGGTATCAAGTATTTTTTTTAATATCAAAATCATGTTTCTTATTTTCACACTAATAAAACTGATAATTTTTGTTAAATATGTATTATGGGGGTAGGATTAAATACGTTTTCTTCTTCCTACTCCCTTTCAGGCAGCTATTTTGGTTAATTTATTACATTTTTGTCCCTCTTATGAATGTTAGCAATACTTTACATAATTTTGTTGGAAACTATGATGGACAAGAGGTGACTTGTGCCCAACGTGAAATTCCTGAAATCAATAAATAAACAAACAAACAAACAACTGATGATTTGCTTGAAAAAAAAAAGAAAAGACCTGAAGACTTTTCTGAACAAAATCTCAAAAAGTATTTTGGTGCATTCCAGCTCTGCACACCTGAGAGCTGGTTCCCACTCACGGTTATGGTTACAACTGCAGTAAAGCGTAGGGTTTCGTGAATGTTTTCGCAGGAGCCTTATTGTCATCGTGTGTGGCTGAAATCCTTGCTGTGGTTTTGCGAGAGGGATTGAGCTGTTGAGGCGAGTGATTTGAGGCTAAAGCAGATTGAATCACATGTTTCTAGAGGATTAACCAACCAGGAAGGTCCACAATTTCCCACTGTCATTGCAATCACCTTGAAACTATAGGCATTATTGACAAAAGGACTAACTGGATTTCTTTTTAATATGTTTTCATTGCACAATGCACAATAAAAAAGCTTTGTATTTTGAGTTTCATAGTTCCCAATAGTTTCCCAATCTTTTCCCTATAACTGTGGGTTGTGGTTGGTTCTGTGATATGTGTTTAAGTAAGACACTTTTCCCACCTTGCCTAGTATGAGTCTGGTGTGAGCGCGGTTTATGGTGGTCAGAGGGGCCGATGGCACATACTGGTTGCCTCGTTTCTGTCAGTCTGCCCCAGGGTAGAGTTGTAGCCTTGTTATTATTATTATCATTATGAACTAAATGTAAGGTGAGATTGTAAACGTAAGAGTGAAGAAGTGTTTGTATTAGGGGATTTGAGCCGACTGTGAGAGAAAGAGAAAGTGAACGGAAAAATTTGAATGTGTTTTAAATGAGAGTGCTTGAGAAGTATGAAAGTTTTTAGTTGACTATGGATAGAATTAGAGGCATAACTGGCTGGTAGAGCATAGTCATGTGTATTGAGATATTGAGTATGGGCATATGCAGAGAATGGTTGAAGAGAGATTGACGTGATGTATAGTTGGTAGTAGACCGAGAGGTGGGCCAAGGTATGGATGCAATGAGGGCGTTGAAGGGGCGTTCACACCAGACTTAACTTCGGCGTCAAAAGCGTCAGGTTTCCATTGAAAGTGAATGGTGAAGCGCGTCAGGTGAAGCCGAGAGCCCCGGCGTCACTTGACGCGCGTCAAAAGCTTCAAGAGTCGCGCGTACTACGCGCTCACTTGAAGCTTTTGACGCGCGAAACGCTCGCGTATCAAAACAATCCCTCTGACGCCGAAGTTGAGCAAAGCTGAGCTTTTGAAGCTTTGACGCGGGCTTCAACCAATCAGGAGACGAGGAGCAGCAGCAGCAGAGGGTCTGTCTCTGTCATGAAGAGAAGTCATGTATCTGCTGCTGTTGTTTTATTGTCATTATTGTTATTAGTAATATTATTTGTATGAGTAGTAACATTCTGAGTAACAAAAATCATTGTACACATTCTGTGTAGTAAACGTAGTTTATTTAATATAAGAACAGGCTGACGATGAGTCTGGCTCAGAGCAAGGCAGCTCCGGGCGGGTGAGAGCCGGGGAGAGGCAGGGAGAGGCGAGCGAGAGCCGGGGAGAGGCGAGCGAGAGCCGGGGAGAGGCAGGGAGAGGCAGGGAGAGGCGAGCGAGAGCCGGGGAGAGGCAGGGAGAGGCAGGGAGAGGCGAGCGAGAGCCGGGGAGAGGCGAGCTCCGGGGTTTGAGAACTCAGACTGGGCAAGTGACACGCGGAAGTACCGCTGAAAGTAAATGACGGAACTCTGCAAACACTGCAGCCTCTCAAGTCTGTGGTGAACCCAGAACATGTTTTGTTGAAGCCCTACAACAACGTTATTTTGCTTTATATAACAAATAAAGGCTCGCTGCTCATTGAAAAATCCACCGCTGTCCTGACTACAGGCAACAGAGAAGCTCCTCCCACCGGCGTCAGGCGCGTCACTCGCGTCAAAAGCTTCAAGCACCAAAATGACAAAACTATCCCGGCGTCAGTTGAAGCGCGTCAAAAGCTTTTTGAAGCTTTTGGTCTGAACGCGCCCGAGAGCGTTGAAAGTAAGAGGTATAACAGTGGAGGAAGCAAGAGTTTGTGCACAAGAAAAGGAAGCATGGAAATTGTGAATGCATGAACTGACACAACACTAGCAGGTGCACTGGCCTAAAGGGTCAACCCATTTTCGTTTTGCCTTGTATTATAATAGATGAGAATTATAATGCATAT